TTTCTCTTATTCTTCACAAAACTACAGGAAATAAAGCACTTTATTTGTGATTTTTAGAGATAAAGAGAATTCTGCTAAGGAAAGAACCAGGATAAATACCGTCTGCCTGCTTAGCAAGCCATTCTTTCTACAATCTAAATAAAATTCTCATTACACTTCATATTGCTGTACACACTGTTTATCTTTCAAAAATCCATTTTTCCTGATGTAGGGGAGCGTGCTGGTGTCTCCTAACAGGACTGAAGGCACTCTTTGCAGTTTCTCTACAGTTTTGGCAGCCGTTTCTTCCCCCCCCCCTTTTGCTTCCAACATTTGCAGCACATCTTCAGCAGATCCCCGTGGACAGCTCCCTGCTTAGAGGACACACATCTAAGGACAGATGCAGTTTGGAAGCCACGTTTTCCTTCCTTAGCCTTCCTTATGCACAAGGCTCTGGGCAGAGCTGAAGGTGGCTTTGAGCTGCACCTCTTGCCCCTTGTGAAGTAGCCAGGTCTCGCTGGTCCAGGGATCTGCTGCACACCGAGAGTCACGTGACTGCCCCAAGTCTCTTCTGTGTGCCAACCGGGAGCCGCTGCCTGGAGCTCCTTCAGCCTTTCCTGTGGCTGAGTCTTCCCCATGTCCAGCCTCAGCCGCCGGCAGGTCGGTCACTCCTCTGGATGCAGCAAGTTCCCAGGCTGATGGGTGCTGCACTCCTTGGCCTGTCACCTACCTCCTCCTCCTCCTCTAAGTCACCAGATGTTCCTTATGGGGGAAGACTCCCCCCCTCCCCGCCACCTACAGAACACTCAGCACTGCTGCTGAATTCCTCAGCACGTTATCCAAATTCCTTTGCTTCACTGATCATGCCTGTTGTGTCCCTAGGCTTCTCTCCATCTGCCTCCGCGTCCGCCTCCTCCTTACTCACGGCTCCTGCCCACAGGAAGCCTACAGATGCTTTCTGAGCTGCAGTGCTGCAAACAAGGGGGCTATTTTGTTTTGCCTACAGGATGAATTTTAAATAGTGCAAAGACTTGACTTGTGATGATTTTAAAAGATGCCAAGAGGCAGTTGCTGAGGCTGGACAGTAGCAGGAAGGGGCCTGGCCGCAGGCAAGGGGAGACATCAAGGGGCAAGAGGTGCAGCTCAAAGCTGCCTTCAGCTCTTTGCCCAGAGTCTTGTGCATAATGAATGCTAAGGAAGTAAAATGTGGCTTCCAAACTGCATTTGAACTCATGTTTAGTTTAACCATTTATACTAAGAAATGCAGGTTGCTAGAGGGCTGGACCTACTGCTTTATATTCTTAGAGGAAGCTTGGTGTGCCCACTCCCTGGTATCGCAGACATCTACACCAGATCTTGCAGCCTGCATATTCAGGTCCACATGGCAAGGGACCTGTGGGAATTTGGAAGCAGCTAGCATTCTGTGTAAGTCAAACTTCATCATGAAGTA